GTTCTTTTAGTATTCTGCATGACATTAATAAACATCATTCATATGAATAAGATTATATAAATCAACTAAATTCATTCATAAAGGTTTTATGAATACAAAAAGTTTACGCATAAAAGGTGAGAGTTCTATTGAAAACCCATATTAAAATAAAAACTTTTTATAATGAAAACTTTTTTTGAAAGGAAAATGCTTATATTAAATTCATAAAAACAAACACTCAAACATCCTGCCAAACCAACATCCAAACATCATACTTACTCTCTACCCATGACATCTGATCTCTGTAAACACCGTATAGCTTATAGACCTCTCTCACTCTCTGATTAGACATAGAATAGATCATCCAATACTGAGCGAGACTAATCGCTAAACATACGAGAGATTCGAAGCTATTATCGATAAGATTAACCTGATTGCTTCCACTCATTCTCACACAAAAAAAAACGTCTTTCCCAGACCGGACTAGAAAAATAAAAAAGCAATACTGAAAGCTAAAATTACACACGACATAGAAACAACTAACACTGAATTGAAAATAACAGTAACTAAAAGGGTAACTTTCTTGAATCCTAGCACCTCGTTCATTCCATGTCGGTGGTTCGGGGGGGGGGGGGGGGGGGGCTATCAGGACCGCTGTGGTTGATTCTTCATTGTCAACCGAACTCTGGCCTTCATCAAACCCGTAGCCTGTCATCAATCTGCTACTCACTACAAACAAGGCTTTTCCGCTAACCATAATTGCCATCGTTCGATGAACACAACTGTCGCTTGCGGATTCCACCTACTCAATTGCAGCATCACCCCTCACCGCCGAAGCCCTGCACTCGAACGACCGCCTTGACTACCTGGTTGATCCCTGCCTCCACCGAGACTTCCGCCGTCCGTTAAGCTTTTCAAACTAATCCTGCGAGCAAATCTATCGCAACCCAAACCCTAGGCCAACTAGGGGTGTAAATGAGCCAAGCCGCTCGCGAGCCGCTCGTGGATCGCTCGGGAAAAGTTCGACTCGAGTTCGGTCATATTAAGCTCGGCTCGAGTTCGGCTCGACTCGAATAGTTAACAAGCTCAATTCAAGCCTATTTATTTTAGGCTCGTTGCTCGCGAGCCGGTTCGCGAGCCTTTGTGTCATATTTTATATATAATAAATATATATGTAATAATTATATATATACACTTTTTGAAATATATATTCCAATTTAGGACTATTCCATTTCAATACTTATCACAGATGGAGTATATTATAATAGTAATAATTACAAAAATAATAACATGTGTAGTATTATTATTATACTCATAAACTGTAATAATTATAATATGTACTCTTAATATTTATTGACAATAAAATAAGAATACAAATGTTAGTAAATAAGAAATAACCTAAAAATGAGAATGAAAAAGTACACCTATAATATTTTTAGCTCGAGTTCGAGCATCTAATTCAAGTTCAAATCTCTAAAAATTAATTAGCGAAACTTGACCAGAGCTCGAATCAAGCTCGAATACAGCTCGAGCTGAGCTCGGCTCGAGATCGAACTCGAAATATTTAACTCGTCCAAGCTCGAGATCGAGCTCGAGCTCGTGAATTCTTATCAAGCTCAAGCTCAAGCATACCCATGCTCGGGCTCGGCTCGGCTCGTTTACACCCCTAAGGCCAACTAGGAGCCTCCGTCCGCGATTAGTTGATTTCAATTTTTACTATAGTGAAAACTTTTATTCACAACTTTTTATATCATTGGTTAGGTTAGGATGCATTTGGATCCTTTGTGCAATAAATCAAAATTCAAACGGATCTTTTTTGTGATTATTGTAAAACTATTGTAAAAATGTTCGGGATTTTAATGTATGAAAAGTGAAGATTAATTTATGAGAGAATTCCTAAATAGGAGTAAAATAGTTTTGAAATTACAAAATAGGACTATCATGTTTTTTATTCCTCGAATAGGAGTAAATTTCTGCCAAGTTTGACATTGCTAGAGCTTTAAACATGACATTTTTTTTCAAACTTGGCAGATTACTCCTATTCAGGTAATAAAAAACATGATACTCATATTTTGGAATTTCAAAACATTTTTGCTCCTATTTAGAATAATTTCTACTCCCTCCGTCCCGTAATTAAGTTCACAGTTTGACTTCACTGTGGAGTGCACTGTTTTGCACTGTTTAAACACTGTTTGACACTGTTTGGACATTGTTTGACACTTTTTTGATATAGATTATTTGTCAAATAAGGAAAGTTTTGAAGTGTGAAGTTAATTTTGGGACTGCCCGAAAAGGAAAGTGAGAAGTTAATTTTGGAACGGAGGGAGTATTAATTTATAGACGAGTACTCATATCTTAAAAAGAAGAAATTCTTATTAGACCACACCCTCTAAAAAAATCACGAATATACCATTGATAACTCGACAAATCGCATAGTGGTCAAGGAGGTGCAAAACCCTAGCTGAAACCCTCATTCTAATCCTATATAAATGCTTCGTCATGGTTCCGGATCTACATTACGTTCTATCGTCTACCTTCAGTTTCAAAAACCTTTTTCTTTGCTGGTTGCTTTATTATAGGCTTTTATGTTTTGCAGTCGTGTTAACCGCCGATTTTGGGATTTATTTGGTTTGCGATTGTTTTGGAAGGGAAATGATGACAATGATTGTCGCCCCAGTCTTAGGCGCTCTTATCTGTGAGATGCGACGTGGTGATCGACTTACATTCTGATTCCTTTGGCGTTTGATTGCCATCGTTTTTTCTGATTCTTTTTAGTGTTTTGTGATGGAATTGTACTGTTAATAAATAGCGTGTAGTATTGGATGATGATATAAAATCAACCATCTCATCCCTGTTTTACAGCCATTTTTTTTGCAATATCATTGTTTTCAATCTTACGAATTTGGGTTCAAGGTCCGATTAAAAGAAGCGACGATAGTTTTCTTGTCTTTTGGATCTCGAAAAGCTTAGATGTATTCAAGGAGGCGTGATGATTCAAACCCATCTATTCTGTTATTATTGATGATGAATCAAAACATGCACTACCATCTGATCTCCTTTTTTATATTTGAAAACACGTTTTACCTAACTATCGTGTATTCGATTTTGTTATGTGCACCTCACAAAATTGTTTCTTAAATGCAATCGATGATGAAAATCTACCCGAAATTACTGATTTTACAGTGATTAATACTCATTTTCACCATCTTTCGACTGAGATTGTGTTTTAGGAAAGCGTTATAGAATACCTCAACTAGTTTTGGGAAGTGCAAAACTGCAACAGTTAGACAGTTTGTATTGCCCGTGGTATCTAATGTCCGGTATCTTTTGGTTGCCGGATGTGTCGTTTTAAGGGCAGAAATTCAAACAAAAAACAGGTCTTTGCGACACAGTGGGCTTCATTCCTCATAGTCCATCTGTTACTTTTTCCCTGCTTACATTTAATCCAGCCTTGTGATGATCCGTGCGTGGGCATCGTTGGTTCCATGAAAAATATTTTTTTGTTTGCACCTCATTTGAGCGCTTCTGGATGACGAATGGATGCATTACTGCTTGAAAGACGAATGGATCACCAATTATTTATGAGAAATTAAAAAAATCTCCCAGTTTCACCCTTAAACTTAACATGCTTAATAACATTTTTCTTGCTGGTGATTATTTTAATGGAAATGAGAAATTATTTTTGGACATTCAACTAGTTGGAATTAATTTTAGTGTGAAGTAATTGGATGACGCTTTTTTAATTCTTGAACAGTTATTTTTCACGTTAAAGCCCGAGTACATCCCAGAGCAATAGATGTACGATTACTTGAGGACGTGATGAATGGATCACGTGAGTAAGGTAGAGTGTCTTGTTTCCTCCCGATCGTCCGATTGACAATTCAATGATTTGAGATCTTGAGCTTCACTTTTTCACCAATCTCGAGATTGTGTTGGCAGCTCCCCTCCCGTCCGATGTGCAGGACACCTTCCTAGTTGGGCAGAGGATCCCAATCCGTGATAAACAAGTGAAGTCGGAAAAATCAAAGTCACAATTCATGCTGCATGTTATTTGATTTCCTAGTTTCATGGGTTATAATCGCATTATATTTTATCCATGAGGAGTTCAATATGTTTTCTCGGCAACTCTTGGTATGGTAAATTATTGAGTACCGTGTAGTTCCTCTTTCTGTCTACGTGGGTATAAATATTGAGTAACTGGGGAACTGGAAATTGGTAGGGCTTACATCAATATAGGAAAATTGATTGCAGCTTGATGGGAAAATTAGATGGCTCATTGATTTGAAAAAAATAGAAGTGGAATTACTTTTTACCATGTAATAAAAGATATTCTCATCGATTGATGATGAGTAAGAATTACACCCTGGTTTGGACTACAAGGAGTAAATTTCAAGTGCAACTAAATCTACAATTAGTTATGGATATATATGAAGACATATAGTCAGATTTACATCAAGTTAATAATGTTAATAAATAAGATTAATGAAATGGAAATTAATTAATGAATATCCTTTATACATTAGTGTTTTTTAGGTGACTGTTACACAAGATTTGTCTAAACAAATAGTGATGATTCTTCAAATAAGAGTAAAACTTGGAAGTATAAAAATAGGGGTATATTTTTAAAATTTCCGAAACATGAATATTTTTGAAGCTTGGCCAAGGATACCTCGCAGGACCATTTCCTGCTAGAGTTGCCATCGGCAGTTTGGACTGATTGGAGGGTAGAAAGTTGATATTTTGACTAAAATATTACTAATGAAACTATCATAGATAAAAATGTGATATGGTGACTAATTGTGTTTAAAGTATACATCATAATTATTATGTCATATTAACTTTAAATACAATTATATTCATTACAAGTCATTTATATCTACCACTTTTGTAGAAGTTTAATTAGTGGAGTTTTTTTCTAGAAAACTCATGTAGTCATGTTTAGTTCGTTCAGAGAAAATTGGACGTGAACTCGTATTTCGAGAAAAAAGTGAATGTTTTTACTGCTATTAAGAGCAATTAGTTAGAAGAAAAGTGAATGTTTTATTGGGATTTTCGGGTTTGTTATATCAATCATCTAGAGTAAAATAGAAAGTTAAAATTATATACTCCATATGTAATAATGGGACAAGAATTGCGTGCGTGCGTGCGTGCAGATTCTGTTCAGCCTTTTGCTCTCTCCCCCTCTCCTTCTGTCGGTATATATTCTCCCCATCACCAGCTTAGCTTCCTGGAAGAGTTCGACAATTCCTTCAACCATATCATCAACATCAACGATCTCTTAGAGTCTATCCAAAAGCCCTTCATTAAGTCGTCCTCGATGGTAGTCTCTGGTTGAAAGTCCTCATCAGATGAGGAAGTCTCATGTAACCAATCAAATACATCATTTTCTGTGCAGGATTTCTCAACTTCACTATCAAAATCTACAACATAACAGTAACACAAAGTCAAACAACTGTTGGATACACTCTAAAAGCAAATATGATTACGGGTTGATCATATATAACTACGAATTCTATGCGTGTCAAGGTTGATTAAGCAGGACTAGATTAGATGTACATACCTTCTTCACCTGCATGATTGGCAATGCTGCTCGGGTGGTGTTCCTCGCAAAGACCACTATGCTCATCAATTAGGTTTTTTCGGCAATCGACATATCCATTCCCGACAGCGTAGCCACCAGCTCCGTTCCTTGTTCTCCATTTATGACCCCTGAGCCACATAAAATTTCTCAAGAGAAAGAAAACTAAATCAACAAGCAATAGAGTTTGAACAGGGAGACTAGAGGGACAGAGAGAGAGAGAGAGATTGACACTAATAAAAAATGTTTATATTGTATGAGTAATGTTAATATGGTAATGATGATAATAATATTAATAATATAATTCAAAACTACAATATTAAATACAGTACTAAAAAGAATAGTACTCGTTATTATCATTGTTCTCATAATAATCCTATGCCATCTCTCTGTATTTGTTTGTTCATTCCAGTACGTTTAATGTTACTTATTTTTATTTTTGATTTTGCATAACAAACTGTTCTTACATGTCAAACTAGCTCTAAAAATATATATTATGATTATTAATATATTGTGGAACAGAACTTATTGCTTGTTCAATCTACCTTTGAGGACCCAAATAAAATAGGAAAGTGGGGCGGCTAAAAATAAATTTATGGAATTACATTTTAAACAAATTCTTTATTTCCCTCACATTTTCTTTCTCTACAAATATTCGATAGTTTTTGAGTGCGTATATTATACAACCGGCTGTATGGTGAGCATCGAACAACCGACCCAGTAACAGGCCCAAGGGAAAAATAGCAAAAATAATTCGGTGACACTTTTGTAATTAATGTGAAAATCACGGTTTCTGCTAAATGAGCATTAGTGTACTGTTAATGAGCAATAGTCCAATTTTAATGAGTATTAAGCGTCCAATAATGAGCACCGTCCAATAAATACCACAATTAAAAAACGGTGACATTTTCGTAATTTCAGTGAAAATCGCGGTTTTCGTTAGATGAGCATTAATACACTTTTAATGAACATTAGACATCTTCTACTGAACATTAAGAGTCAAATAATGAGTATTGTGATATCAACTTCATATATTGTAATTCACTTTCTTTTTCTTATTTTTTCTTTTATAAAATCTTATTAAATTATATTTATAACTTTTATGAATTTCAATATGTGAATCTAATTTAATATGAAACTTTTGAAATATGTATTGATATGACATTTAAAAAATGAGCATAATAAAAATGAGCAGACACAACTTACAAAATGAGCATTCATATGAAAATCTTACACTTTATTAGTTTAACATTAAGACATTTTCATTGATCATCAAACATCCTCTATCGAGTATTAGAATCATGCATTTGAAATAACATTTCAAAATGAGCATAACACTTGAACCAAATGAGCATACATAATTTGCAAAATTAGTATCGTAACATTTAAAAACTCATTTGTATATGTTCATTTCGTTTACACATTATACTCATTTGGGTTTGATATAAAACTCATTTTATAACATTTATAATAGATTTATTATTAAAAAATTTGCCATGAAGTTGGTCATGTTTGCAGGTGATTATCGGCGCTGCTGATGACCATCATCACTGATTCACCGATCATCATCGGTTAATAACATACTGCAAATCCGAATTCTTGATCACGGCCTCTCTTAAATTCACATTTGTAAATCCCCCTGGATATGAATTTCAGTTTTAATACAACACACAATGTTTATAAATGCTTAATGACAAAGACAACTTCAATTGAATTAGTTTGCTCCGAATTTGACAAGGACATCATGTGATTGCAAAAAGGATGCTAGATGGCTTGCGAAACAGAATTTAATTTGGACGGTGGACAGTGATAATGGAAGCTGAAGAGTCTGTGGATGACAGTTGTGGTAGTAGCCATGTTTCTCGATTCTTTGCCTCTGAACTTGTGGAGAAATGAGTTTAATCCCTCAAAGAAGGTAAACAGATTGATGGTCGTCGATGGGAACAACAACGATGTATTATTGATGGCGGCAGCTAATCCGAGCAAGAAGACCACCGGCGAAGAGTAAAAGTCTGGGATTTGAAGGCTTAAACTTCCTTTTTATTACAAAAATACCCGGCTGTACCATGCTCAAGGTACAGCCGGTTGTACCATATAGTTTACCATATTTTTTTCTTCCTAAGTTCATCTCCTATCATTTCTAAAGTATCAAATTAGCCTTTAGGTTTACACAACTAAATCCCGGTTGTTTCATTGTGTTCCCCCTCATTTTCAGTCACACTCTAATCCTTCCAACATCATTTCACCTACCGATAGCATCATACATAGTGGACAACATGATATAACTTGCACTTCAGTTTGGATAAGGATCAAATATGTTCTCTGCATTTCTTTATGCTAATTTTATGTTAAAATGTTTGGTGCAACTACTAAGCAGAGTCATCCATATTGGCAGATTAAGTTTCACGGGCATGTTTTTCAACAGACACTTCGCTTCATCTAGTCTCCCACCACGACATAAGAAATCAACCATGCTGGATAATGCTCAACACTAATGTGCATCCACATGGAAAGATAGTTGAATAACATTCCTCCTTCCCTTAACATGCCAGAATGGTTAGAGGAAATAAGCAAAGCAGTGAAGGTGATGCCATAAATATATAATAACATCCCTCCTGATCATTTGGGAAGATAATTCAAGTGTCCCTTTTTCAAGCCCATGTTGTGCACATCCAACTATGATTGTGTTCCACTAGACGATTCTTTAAGCAATTAAACATGGCAGTATGTCACTAATAAGTCCACATTTAGAGTGCAAAACCACTATGGAGTTACCCACATCCTTCCTAAAGTCAACCGTCTCTATTTCACATGTTGAGTTCAATGCACTACAGGTGGACGAAGGCTGGTTGGGGATTACACCATACAAGACCATATTTGTGAAAATCATTAATGCATGGGTGTGCTTACTTTCAAATTATAGCTCGTAAGAATCACCTTTTTTCACATTCATGTTTGTTTTTCAAATACCATGCAAGAATCACCTTTTTTCATGCAAGTAGAGTCAAGCTTAATTGGCGAAGCAATAACGTATGCTTCAAATCGCAAACCGGATTTTGTGGAGCTCACATGACTTTACCTATCTATAATATGTCCTTATCGTTTGCAGAAGCAGTAAAAGTTGATGCAAATGTATTTGAGTTGGGCTTTGTTTCAAAACCAAACATCTTCCTAAAAATCGCCAAGGCCTCATTGCTCCTTCCGTGATGATCAAAACCGTCATTCACAGAGGTCTAAGATATCACGCCTCAATGTGTCTTCAATTATTTCATTCTCAAAATACTCATAAATCATTGCATTCCAGGCTGCTACATCCCTCAATGGCATCTCAGAAAACACACCTTCACCTTTCACTATCCCAAACTCCAACAACCCATTAAACAACATTTTTCTTGGGCATGACATCCAACAACTTCATGCCCTTCTCAACATTCCCACATTGTATGCCATAACTATGCACCCTTTGATTAAGGATTCCATATGACTGTGTCTTTGATAGAAATTTTGTCAAACATGTCCAATGCATCCTTTAGTCTCCCGTTTTCGCCATATCCAATAATAATCTTGGTATACAGATAAATGCTAGGAGACGGGATTTTACCGAAGAGTGTCTGAGTTATATCTAGTTTTCCATGCGACAAACTAACAACTAAGCATGTGGGAGTGATTGCATTTGACTCTTTAATAATGGCGGGAAATACATATATGACGACCCACTAATCATGAGACCCCCCAAAAGTCGCCCATCAATTTCAAAATTTAATTTGTGTGCAGCAACGACACAAATTGCACTTTCATGGTAAATAATACTGAGTACTTCTATATGCTACAACTAATGGCATTTTGAGTTTATATTCGTCTTCTACCTCTTAATTGATACATACTTTTGTACTCATCTCCACTACTCCCTATTTTTCTCTTCTTCTCAACCTTCATTTATGGATAACTTCATAACTCATCCACATTTTCCTAAGGTAAGAAAATAGTGACATATATAATACTCTGTATAATTACTAAATGAAATTGTCACTTACGTTAAGTGAAATCTAAAATTAAAACGTTAATCATGCAATTATCACCACAACCCGGCAAAGCACCCATAATCAAAATACTACCTCCGTCCCATAAAACTTTGCCAAGTTTAGCCGGCACGGAGATTAATAAAGTAAAAACTGTGTGGTAGAGGTTTGTGCAGAGGAGAGATAATTAACAGGAACCACAAATTCTTTACTAAAAAGGGAAAGATGCAAGGTTATTGGAACAACCAAAAAAGGAAAGTTGCCAAAGTTTTAAGGGATGGAGGGAGTATGATTTGAGGGTTAGTATTTGCTTTTCGATATTGTGTAGAGTGTAATTGGTGCTTTTGTTAATACGATATGAGTATATAAAATACGCGTATACTCTAAATTATACGAGGAATAAACTAAAGCAGTGTTTTGCAAAAATTTGAAAAAGTGGTTTTCGGTTTTTGACTTAAAAAAGCTGAAATAATTGTTTTTGTATAAAGCGTTCTAAATCTAAAATGTCAAAGCAAGTGGACAAACACTTTAAACTGTTTTAACTCTTTCCATTGTACATAAAACACTTTTTTATTAAACACTACAAATTTTTACTTTAACAAAAATATCTTTTTTCTAAACACTATTCCTTTTTACTATTAAGGAGCTTCTCAAAATTCACATTTTAAAAAAAAGGACAAACATTCCTTAACTAAGATTGGCGCAAAAAAAGAATAGAAAAATCACAAAACTTAAAGTGTGTGTAGCAGTTGAATTGGGACAACCTAGAATGCCGGCATGTAGGTATTCTTCTTGTAGAGTAAATAATTTCCAATTGGCTGCATCCAATTTGAGTGTATAAATATAATATTTGAACTTAATTTACTATCCTCTGGATGATCTAGGACAGCTATTTGTACTTGGATTGGAACAAAATGATATATACTTGAACCATAGATAATCCAAATGACCATTTAATTTAAATGTGATTATTAGCGCGCTGTTGCTAATTTTCGAAATGTTCATGGAGTATGTAGTAGTTTATAATTAAGTTGGTTGAGAATGGAGCAGCTAATGGGTGATGTTTCCATTTGCATTGAGCAATGAAAATAGAAGTAAACTAGAAAAAGGTAATCGATCGATCAAATGATATAATTAGAGAATGTGAGAGCTAATAAGGACAGGGCAAGAATCTATTGCATGCGACGAGGAAGCAAGCAAGCTAGCTGGCGGGCTAGGTGCACCAAGAAAAGAACCCAAAACGAACCTGTCAATCACGTGGCTAGGGCTATAAATAGACAAGAGCGCCTTTTACACACAAATATATCCACAATGACTAATAATAAAGCTGTGGCGTCAATGCTGTTGCCGCTCAATTTCTGTATGTATGTTATCGTCTTGGCCATTGCAGCCTGGGCTACCAACAAAGCTATACTTGAAGGCTTCTTTATCGGTACGTACGTGACAGTTGAATCCATCTCACTTTATCAACGACTAGCTCTTTAATTTTAGAACACACATAGATAGTGCATGCATCTATCTATATTATATTGATGAGTACGTAAAATGCATGTTATTTAGCAGGCCCGGGATTCGATCTACCCCCACAATTCTCTCCGATAAGTTTTCCGATGGGGAACGCCGCTACCGGATTCTTTGTTGTGTTCTCCCTGATTGCGGGCGTGTTCGGAGTTGCATCCATCATAGTGGGCATTCACCACTGGAACCGTGACACTGATCATATGCCTTGTGCTGCTACTTCAGCAGCAGCGATTGCCTGGACTCTTACTGCCCTTGCCATGGGGTACGTACGTTATTCCATTATTCATCAACCTTTCTAGCTTCTCTATTACTCCCATGGAGTCAACCATATGATAATAATGTCTCACATTTGGCAGATTTGCCTGGAAGGAGATTGAACTCCAAAACAGGAACGCCAATCTGGTGAGTTTTAATAAGTTACTCATATATACTACTCCGTAGTACACTAGTACTAGTATTTGAATTCGACCAAGCTGCTGCTCATAAGAATAAGAGCCCATTTGGTAACCCTTTTTTCGGCTTATGAGCATTATCGGCCAGTTTTTTCACCAAACATGTAATTTTGATTTCGCACGCTGAACTGTGTAATAATAAGAAAAAGTAAGGTTGAAGTTACTTTTCTGGATGTATTGACTGATGTTACTGTAAATGATTGTTTTATGTATTTTTTCATATGATTTTTTATTTTATTTACTAATAAAAAAATATTTTAAATATAAATTTTTCATAAATCACCAGAATCAGCCAATACAACCACTTCAGCCAGAACTTCATAAACTTTCGCAGAATAAGCCAATTCAGTCAATTTCAGTGTTAACTAACGGGCTCTAAGTTAGCATATGTCCCAGAAACCACATGAGGCATGCTTCTTTATATGCTTACCGAATCTGGAAGTAAATTTTATTGAGGAAATTTCCAAATAGAATTAAAACAAAGATAAATTTCATAAATAGAACTATCATTGTTTATTCCCAAAATATGATTTATTCACTCCTATTTGGAGAACTTTTACTCAACTTATTCTTTTAATAAAACTAAATAAGTCCTATTTGGGGAATTAATAAATAAATACACTTTGGATATTTTTTGGTCCTTGATAATAAATTGTTCAATATAGGATCAATACATAGACAAAGCTCAAAATAGGACTAAATATGTTTTCTTCCTCAAATAGAATTTATTTAGGCCTATTAAAAAAATATATCAGATTAAAATTTTTCTAAATATAGGAGTGTATGAATCATATTTTAGAAATACACTACGTATAATAGTAGTCCTAGCATGTTTATGAACTTTTTCTTTCCTTTAATCCTATATAGGGACATTTTTTAATTTTATTTGCCGGATCCGTATGATGGGTCCGAGGTGAGTTATTAATGGGGCCCATCCATGTGAATTTATTTCCACATAATGTAAGAAGGGTACGTGCTAAAAAACTACCTCTGCCCCATTTTAATTAGTCATCTTTGACATTTTCAATCTATTTGATCAATTATTTTAATTAATATATTTGTGCAGAATTTAATAATTTTATACTTTTAGGATAGTATTTTAACAAAGAACATTTTCATATCATTTCTATATCATCAATACGTTATATATATATATATACAATCGGTCAAAATTAGACATCATTGTTGACTAGAAAAGTCAATTTTGACTCAGTAAAACGAGACGGAGGGAGTACTACTTAGTATAGAGTAATATATAGAGTAATCTTCTGATCATGCCTTCCTGACCGGAATCACCCTTCGGACGACGGCGTTTGGGGCCCTTCCCGGTGGAATTGTTTGATGAAATTTTTATGACATGTTCTTCATCAAGTCTAGTTTATCCACAAAAAATTTCAGCTAAAAATTCAATCGGGAACGCCGTCAAATGATTTTTGGATGATAACTGCGCCCAAAATATACATATAAAACGTAGTTATCTGTAAAAAAATATTTGACGGCCTCTTCTATTGAATTTTTAGCTGATTTTTTCGGATAAACTAGACTTGATGAAGAACATGCCATAAAAATTTCATAAAAAAAGTCGACCATAAGAGGCCGAAACGCCGCCATCCGGGCGGCGTTCCGGTCCAGGAATCCAGACAGTAATATCTCTCTCGAATGCGCAGAATGCACCATGTGTTTTAAGAATTTATTTGACTGTCTTCCGATCGAATTTTGATCTGAAATTTGGTGTGGATAAACTAGACTTGATAGGAAACATGCTCAAAAAAGTTCATCAAAAAATTCCACCGAAAACCGCCTCAAACGACGGTGTTCGGACGGCGTTCAGACGGGGGAGTGCTGGACCTGAGCACTTCTCCATATATATGTATATGTGTGTGTGTGGGGCATATTGGCTACCTGGCATTACTGATATATAAGCGCTTTTGAAAAAACATACACAGAGGACAATGGAAGCTTTCCTGATCATCCTCACCGTTACTCAACTGCTCTACATAGCAGCCATCTGCCGCGGCTCAGCAGCAGCAGCAAGATTCACATGAATATGAAGTGGATACTCACTACGCCAATGAATATATTGAAATAAGGAAGGATCCCTTATATATTCCTTATAACTAATAAGGGAATGGGTCCTTATTAAATCCCTTATTAAAATGCTCCTTATTACTTGAACAATAAGGACCAATTCCCTTATAACCAATATAAGGGATTAATAGCCAATAGGCCCTTATATAATTCCTACGTGGAAGAGTTATACTGCTTACCCTGTATAAGGGATTAATAACGGCAATTCCGTTATTAACGATATTATCACATAAAATAATTGTTTTATTCTTGAAAAGCAATTGTTTTAAAATAATAATAATAATTATTATTATTATGATCTTCCAAAAAAAATTATTATTCTTATGAATAAATTTTACTAAAAAAACGGTAATTTTTCAAATCAACAAAATAAAATAATTGTGCTACACAGAACAGAGTTCAATAGTTGTCAAAAAATATGAATACAAAATAATTATCATTCAAATAATCATCTATCATTACATTTAGATTACAAAAGAATTCCCGACTAATATTGTTGAAGCAAATCACTGACTACAACCATCTTGTGCTTATCTGCTCTTCTCAAAAGAGATGTGGTTGTACTCAAGCATCCTAGCATCTTCCCCGGCCAATCTTTACTTGTAACAGTTACTTGTCATAAACCTCTTTGACATATATGCTGAAAATATTACAAATAAGTATGATGAGAACTCTTAAAACACAACAGAATACTACAGTTTAATAAGCATAAGCATATACTCTGGGTAAATCATAATACCTCAATGTGTGTAGCATATGTTATCATCTGTTGCATACACATCTTAAGAACAATTCTGCGCAAAAATAACAAAATCCCTCGTGTGATTGAAATAGTATGTCATTAATAATCAATCAATAATCTTGACTGGAACATGGCTTAAGATTGATGATTCAAGGTAATAAAATCTCTTCCATATCACTTGAAAAAACACAAAAAAGAATAAGAAATCCGTTGAGAACCCCAATTATGAGGAAATATCCTACATTGAGCAAAGGATTTCAGTCCATTCAACCACAATAATACTTAATTAGAGAAGAAATTGTTAAGTTCAGCACAAACTTATGAACTTCAATTGCTAATCCAAAACATTCAGAATACGGAGTATACAAAAATCATATCACTGCTTTAAAAAAAGCTAAACTGGTTAGTAATATTAGTACTACAAATACACACCAGATTCGGATACATAGAGAACAGCACCCCATGTCTAACGCTAAGTTGGTTAAAGAAGTAAATTAAAGGAATTTCATACCTAGTGCTGCATCGAGGAAGATGAACTCGTATACATATAATTAGATTTAGGCGGCGCGGGGCGGTTGCTGTGCGAGTTAATTTATCCGATGCTACTCAGACGAAGGTATAGGCAACGGCGGTGTAGAATCAACCGTGAACGGAAAACATGAAATATGACTGAAGAAGATGAGGCGAGGTGAGGATTCAGATGAAAGGAAGGCGGCGGCACCCTTCAGAACGTTGCGATTAGGGTTGAAAGGAGAGTAAGATAGATGATTTTTGTTGGGGTATTTGATAAAATATGAACAGACACCCATACTTATTTTAAATTAGATTTTGCCCCCATTGTTTTTTTCAAAATAACCCCGTAATAAATCTAATTTGTGATGCAGCAATTCTTTCCACATTATATGAGGGACCGGGCGTCATTAATTTGTTATAGGCTCATTGCCACATCAGTATCAATAAATAAGGAAGGACATCCCTTATTAATCTGCTATAAGAACTTTTTGTCAAATATTGACATCCCTTCAGAATGAGGGATTAATGAGGAAGGTCTATTATAAGGAAGATTCCCTTATTCTCCCCCTTATTAATTCTTAAGCAATCACGTAGTGACTATACGTTCTATACATACAAAGCATCATCTTATTATATACTACATGAAAGAACTAGAGATCCAATTAACGATTAAATAAACGAATATCTTTAAAATCATCATCATTGTAAACCATATTTGTTTATCAATAAATAGATTGCTTTTGGAATGTTATCGTTGTGTCCGAGGTCAACAAGTTCGGGGAATAATTGTTCTTAATTTCTAGGAATATGATGATACGGGAAAGGACTCAATTTGATACACAAACAACTTTTTCCAAAAAAAAAAAATATATACACAAACCAGTTCGTATACCATACGACCGACCCACTATGAGCATAGTACACCCGCCACCAATACGACGTAGTTCTAGCAGTTGACCTCATTATTTTTTATTTCTCTTTTTTTTTAAAATGGTAATAACTTTTTTATTTTTGATCCAATTTTTATAAAATTTATATCAACATTTTTTATTTTTCATGATCTTTCAAATGAGACCATATTGCCTATGTAATTTTAACATATTAACATTTGCGTGTACAAATATGTAACTTTACGTGTTAAAATATGTAACTCATGTTCAGTCAGGCCAAATGCAACTCGTGTGTAAAAATATGTAACTCTACGTGTATAAATATGTAACTTTACGTGTAAATATATGTAACTCGCGTTCAGGCAGGTCAAATGCAACTCGTGTGTATATATATGTAACTTGCTTATAAAAAAATGTAACTCGCTCATAAAAAGATGTAACTCAATTATCAAATGTAACTGAGGCCACTGATCCACTCCCAAACAGATTCGATCTTCTATTCACAAACTTATCATCTCCCTGCAATTCATATGCAACTCATGTGTATATATATGTAACTTGCATGTAGAAATATGTAACTTTACGTGTAAAAATATGTAACTTCACGTATAAAAATATGTAACTCACATGTATAAATACATAATACAATAAATTTTTTATATACACAATTTTAAGATAAATTGTGATTTACACAATTATTTTTCTATATTAAATTTAGTTCGATTTTCTTTATAATCCAATACTCATTAATATAATAGTTCGATAATTTCTTAAAATTTCATAAGCAATATTGGTCTCATTTTAAAGATCATGAAAAATAAAAAATATTGATATAAATTTTATAAAAATCGGAGCAAAAATGAAAAAGTTATTATCATTTTTTAACAACAAAAGCAAAAAAATAAAAAAAGAAACCAGACACTGCGTCGTTTTGAATGAAGCTTGCGTCGTTTTGCAACCGGGCGCACCATCCTCATGGTGCGCCGGTTGCACGGTATAAATTGCGTACACAAACAGCTTAAAGAATCATGTTTACAGGTACGTATTAAATTTTCGTCTAATATGACTCTAATTTGGAGATATATTTTAGGACTTTAATTTCAAATACATTTAGGGCTCGTTTTGTGACATTGAAATGGACTGACGGCTTAATCTACTGGAATTTATGAAATGCTGACTGAAGTTGTTGAGTTATGAGAAACTTATATTTAAAGTATATGCTGTATTTTATTAATAAAATTAAGAAAGAATTACACGAAAAATAGCTAATATAGTATTTTACGGTAACATCGACCAATTGAGTCAGCAAAGTAATAACATCAACCTTATTTATTTCATCAATCTTATTTATTTTTATTATTACACAATAGTATTATTCAAAATCCTTTTCTCAATCTCGGATTTCAATCACAATAGTATTATCTCCTCCACCTTTATTTGCATACTATGAACTTTTTCAACTAATGGGTTCATTAACAGAAAATAATAACAATAATAAATAAACTAATAATAATAGTAATAATAATAAGTCTAAAATCAAAATAATAAAAAATCATATACAAATCAATTCTTTAAAATCCTATTTCTCAACAAAATATTAGTAAACATATTCCTTTATTCAGCACAAAAAATGCTATTAAAGAGTTCCATATATAATTCATTATAGTCTCTATTGAGATTTATCACTTTAATTTATATTAAAGTGATATTACCGGGTCATGCCCCGGGTGTTACACTAGTATATACTAATCAAAAGTGTTGTAACATATTGTTTTGTTGATGACAAACGACTAGTGTTACTTTTGGTCTATAAGTGATTGCAGGAAAGGAAGATAAGTCGTGCTTTGGAACAAGCCGTAAACCTGAACCCGGAACTATATATCCTACAACGGACATATATGTTTTGATTGATAACTAACCATGCAGATGGAACGGCGAACAGAACTATCCTCAGGTCCAAATGGACATTATTATTATATTGTGTTGTTGACTAACCATGCAGGTGAAATTAATAATGAACCATGTCTAGTTCCGTGATATAGTTTGAATTAATATTGATTACACCTACTTGGTTAGTCAACTAATGTGCTTTCCTTATATGAGTGCTTTTACTTTGTCAAGAATATTATTTTAAGCGAAAATACCTTTCTTGCATGACCAAATGATATATACATATTTTGCTTAATAATATATGAGTGGTATATTACTTTATGGAAAGTATAGCTCATTACTTTATGGAAAGTAATATGAGTTCCTTTTTGCATGACCATTATATATGTATACGTAATTGTGCTTTTAACTTTATAAAAAGTAATTGTATTTTTTTTATAAAGTAACTTTGGCTTGCTTATAATTAATTGATTGCATGAATATCTTATTGACGTATGAGAAGTTGCTGCATAATTACGTACATGCTTTTATTCAAATATATTTCCGTACATGATTAGACATCCAATTGAATTAATTGACATATATAGGTTATGGAAAGTATCTTTAAAATACCTTGCTTCCTTTATGGTAGTTGACCGTATCACTTTTGAGCTTTGCCACACGAGTATTAAGTAAATATTTTTAGTATCTTGGCTTGCTAAAAATAAATAATATGTTGGCACATGATTTGAATATATTATTGTCATGGTGCGTACATCCTTCTATATTAGCATGATATCTTGTGAATCTGATTGCCCTTTGCATTGAGTTCGAATAAAGAAGATCATTATAGAAGGAAGGTTTTTCAAATAATATCAAAGCAAATCCCATGATTAGCTACAAGACTATTCAAGGAAAGAGATGCATCAACGGACATATCAAGGCAGCCTATATAAACGAAGCAGACAAAGAGAAATAGTTGTGCTTGACCGAGATAGACATTGAGAGATATATTCATAAAAGGAATACTGAAGTTCAAGGCACCTGAAACTGCTCACCCGGAGTTCTAGATATAGTTTCTACTTTCCCTTCCTCATATTGTAATGGGGTTTTGAGGATTGACTACTAAGTGTAGCATCCTCGGGTTGGTGTGTGTGTGTTGTGAGAGCTTTGTTGTAAAGCTGAGAGGCTCTCTA